TAAAATCTTATGCTCTGCAGCGACTAGCTTCATGGCACAACTGGAGTCCTAGTTAATAACCGTAATTAGTGAACTACAGTTGTGTCGGATCTGAGACAATTATTCACTACAGGCAATGTATGAGGATTGCACAATATCATAAATTGATTCAAATAACAATTTCTTTTAAACAAGGAAACTTGTCATTGGTGCCAATTGTTGACTCGAACTAGACTGAAATCAGGAGTATGAGATTTTACTGATCATTATCATGTTGTTAAGTAATTAAAATAAAATCTGATGTTTCAGTCACTTTTGGTTCATCTACGTAACTGAATAATGGTTGTCTTAATCAATCAGTCTATCAGTTATAAATGATATAAAATCTGGCACAAATGTTCGTTAGCCTAAATTCCTGTAGTTGATTAATACTATGAAATAAAATTAACAAGATTTGTAACAAACGAGTCATCATCTAAAGCTGTTTACCACGACGCGCAATGCTGACTAGTGTTGGAGAAACGGTTGGAAGAAAGTTGGGGGCAGTCAAGCCAAAACATGACAACAGTGCTTGAAGTCACTAACTTCTAGTCAGAGCCATGTTAATAGATGCAAACTACTTGGTTGGGGTCCACGCGACTATAGTTATCAATAGTTGGAGACTGTAGGTGACATGACTCAGAATCGATCACAGTGACGTAGGTGTATGTACTCTTTGTCTTCCCTTGAACTGTGAGATTAAAACTACTTTATACCTTTCTTTCTACAAACTAATCCTTTCTCCCTGTATCATATCTTTTTTTTGAATTATATTACCACCAGTGAAGTAACTGCTTCTATGAATTCAGTGTTCATCTTGTTGTATTAACAAAGTATGGTAACTTGGACCGACATATATATGTACCTGGTCCTACTTTGTAGCTGACTGAGTAAATGACTGACTTGCATATATCTTCTGTGAACATGACAATGCAGTGCATACCAAACTACTGGACGAAAAATGTAAATAACATGAAAGTTAGAGCTTGAAATGAAATACTTACTCACTAAGTGAATGGAAAAATGACTGTAAATGCTTGATATCGAATATATTGAATAGTAAAGAATGGATGCTCTAAAAATTCACGAACATGTATCCTATTCCAAGTACTGCATAAATTTATATTTGAAATTGGGGTTTGAAATGAAAATCTTAGTGATAAATAGACAATAATACTCAATGTCTTGTCACTAAAAAGGCTTTAATGAATGAAAAGATGACTAAAACTATTGGATACAACACATGTCTATTGAATGTGGAGAATGTTGTAGATAACCTCAGTCTACAGTCATTTTATAAAACAGGTACCATTGGTTAGAAAATAATGTTAAATAAAAGACAAGCGAACTTCTTAAAGAATAAATGTGATTTCATGAGTCGATTTAAGCTAGACCATCATTGAAAACCTGAAGTCACTGAACGGTCGTTTCATCCTAGTACAGAACACCTCAGTGGTGTGAATTCACGATCCCACACGTTGGATTCTAACCTAGGACCTTCGATCTCGCACGAAACAGCTGTTCAGTGCTTCCAGATTTTCAATCGTTGTCTAAGTTAAATCGGCCCATGAATTCAACTATTAGATTTCCACAAACCCCTATTCTGATAAATGTCATTCACTTTTAATTTACCTTATATCTCAAATTATGAACCAAATCACATTTTTATGGATTACCACAAATTGATATATCTGGTATATCATTAAGACTCACAGTAGAGTTCATAAACACTCCAACATATATCCTACTTAAATACTGAAGTAATATACTAAAATTACTTCAAAAGAACCTCTACACAACACCACCAAAGACTCTTATGATTTCGGATCTAATCATCAAAGAGAACAAAACAGTGATATAGTATGATGTTATATTTTAATACACGAATATTCCTATTAATAGATGGCTAAAGTTTATCAATGATTAACTGGAGAATGATGATATTCTATCTAGTAAATATCTACTAAGTATTAGTTGAATCATGAAAACTCTTAAACCATGTTTGAATCCAATACTGTTCACCATTAAAAGAACTTTATAAAACCGAATGAACGGAGTGGTCATGGATTCTTCAGCATCTCTAATTTATTGTTCATTCATTTATGTTACATAGTAAGTTGCTTATTTGACCCGATACCTTCAGACAATGTATTTGGCTCAGATATGTAGATGAATGGATAAAACTAGTAAGGAAAGCCCAAGACAGAGTGGGTTGGAGAATGCTGGTCGGCAGCCTATGCTCCATTAAGGTAGCAGGCCTAAGTAAGTAAGTAAGTAATGTAGATGAAGTTTATGTCATCATGAAAAAGACTCTCTCGAGAAAATTCTCTAAACTGATAAATACTTTATCAGTTAACATAAAATCCAACTTTGAAAATGAAAATAAACTCATTGAATTACCAATCCAAATAATAGTCTATATGTAAACATCGACAGTAAACCGACACACTCAAGTCAATATATTGAATTCATTTTGTATCGTTTGTTTGATATGTAGGACTGTTATAGATCAGTCTCTTATTGGCATATGTGCATCCTGTATCGAATTGCTTAGATATTGCCTTCATTCACAAGCATTATAAGCAATGATAGATGATGGCTATTAATGAAATACAGAACTCGTATGTTTTCCTATTTCAAACTCTGAGATTCAGTACATATAATTGACGAGTCCCGAAATAGGATGAAACGCACGTCCTGGATTCCATTGCTAACCACCAATTTATATGTTGGCTCAATATTTTGATTTCAATTCGACACAACCATTCATTACAACAATCTCATTAGCTTCAACTATATTAAGATTAGCATGAAAATAACCTATTACATAAGATGAAAGATATCACCAGCATGTTACAGTTTAATAGTTCTCCAGTGAATAGTACTAAAAATATGTTAAAACAAGATATCCAGTTATGGAATAATATACTGAATGAATAATGATGAATTGATACTGTAGTTCTACTATACATCGTCATAGCACAACAGCAGAACTACAATGAATCTTTAGATCACAGATAGCCGATACTAATTATGTCAGTTGATTAGGTTCCTGTAGTATAATAAACGTATTTCCTAAAGCATAGATTATCCATTATTATTCTGAAGAAGAACAGTTCAAATTTGGTACTACATTATGACAGTATTATTATAATGAGAAAAAATAAACTAGGATATAAACAAAACCAATGGACTTTAAACGAACTCCCGTATATCATTTTAATCTATCAGTATTTTAAAAGTTTTAACAATGAACTGAGTTCAATTAGATCACCATGGGAATACAATACACATTTGACAGTTATCTCATTCACATTATTACACTAATCAGTAGTATTCATCTACAAACACATCACTGACAAACAAACTAAGGAAATCCCAACTCCCGCATCAACTCTTAATATCTACATCATTGAGCTGGCATCAAACCACATACATATATAACTACAATTAATTCACCAATTCACACAACCATCATACATCACCCGAAATGAATAATTCTCTCATACTCGACACTCATTGAATTTAAACAGTCACTACTTCTCATTCTGAAGAAGTGACTTACATTAAGTCACGAAACATCAAGAATATAATTTTTCTAGCCATTGGAATATAACACACACAGATACCTATATATTTATTATTAAATAATCGCACTGGTTAAGATCATGAGTCCGTTGAAGCTAGACCACCATGGAAGACCTGAGAGCTCACGCGCGAAACCAGTAGGTCCTGGGTTCGAATACCCCGAGGCGAGGTCGTGGATGCGCACTGCTGAGGAGTCTCACAATAGGACGAAACGACCGTCCAATGCTTCCAGGTTTTCAATGGTGGTCTAGCTTCAACTGACTCATGATCTTAATCATTGAAATTACTATAATATTCACAAAGCCAATCTCATATTAAATAATCGTTGGTTCGAATCATATGGTAACTGGAATCAATCTTTTTATTTGTCAACTCTAATCATTAATAAGATAGAATATTAATAAGAACTGTTAATTGAAGTTGATTCATTATCATTTTAGATATATATCAACCAAGAAAACATTAAGTAAAAGATTTGATTTTAATATAAACAGTTTTAATGATTCATTAGTTTACTAACGTTTAATATAATAAAACTAACTTAAAACTTTAGTAAACTTATGGAAGAGCAACACTGATGAGTCTCATAATGCTAAGACGAAACAACACTCTATTGATTTCTGATTTTCTTGACATGTGTAACTACAGTCACTTCATGATGTAAACCGCGTCATTCAAATACACTGATTATTAACCAGTCATCTATAATTCAACACACTTCACTAATTCACAACATTCAATTATCAAAGAAAATTATCTCGTAATTTAACTAACTAACTGATCAATCAATCAGTCAGTCAGTCAGTGTCATTGTTCAATTTCTGTATTTCAGTTCACTTGTATGACAATGAGATTTGACGAACACGATGATGTGGCTAGTTATGATTGGAACTATGAAAATTCTACACTCTCCATAGATCTCGTCACCATACTGATAGTATTCATGTGCTGATTATTGAATAATAATGTGAAGATGGAACTGGTGGAGTCCAAGTGAGAATTTGTGATAGTTTAAGTTCAATGAGTGTCGAGTATGAGAGAATTATTCATTTCGGGTGATGTATGATGATTATGTGAATTGGTGAATTAATTGTAGTTAGATATGTATGTGGTTTGATGCCAGTTTAATGATGTAGATATTAAAAGTTGGTGTGGGAGACAGGATTTCCATAATTTGATTGTCAGTGATGTGTTTGTAGATGAATACTACTGATTAGTGCAATAATGTGAATGAGATAACTGTCAAATGTGTATTGTATTCCCATGGTGATCTAATTGAACTCAGTTCATAATTTAGACTGTGAAGATTCTATCATCTCTCTGAATTCCCTATTCTAGCATAAAGTAAACATTAGAAATTCATTTCGATAAATAAAGTAAATACAATCACTTACTTGTTTATTTTATTATATTGTGTATTCAATTCATTCATTGGTAAACTATCTGAATTTTCATTGATGATATCCGATTGAGTAATTCCATTTGTTGTTATTGTCGACAATTGATAAGTTGGTGAATCATGTGACATAGATACAACTGTTGGTAACAATGTCATCATTGTTTTAACCGATATTGGTGACATAACTGGTGTTTTAGACATTGTTGTCGTAGTTGTCACAGTTGTTGTTGTTGTTGTTGTAGTAGTTATAAGTACATCAGTAGCACGATCACGTTGTCGACGATTTTTAAACCAATTTGATACTTGAGTTATAGTTAATCCAGTAATTTCAGCTAATTGTCTTTTATCACGTGGTGATGGATATGGATTTTGATGATACCATTCACGTAAAAGATTTCTAGATTTTTCTTTAAAACAATAACTTGTTTCTTCACCATCCCATATTGTATGCGGTAATGGAAATTTACGTCTTATACGATATTTAGCTACAGCGCCTAATATTCTACCTTTAATTTTTTCTTCTTCTGCATAATGTGCACGTAACCATAAATTTTGTAATCTAGAATGATAGATAGGTGAGAAATTACAATTTTCTAATATATGATATAATTGAGTATATTGTTCATGATGAAATGCAATCAGTGCTTTAGCAACTTGTATACATTCTAAATTATGTAATTGTATATTCCATTTAGGTAATGTTTGTAAAAATAATTCCAATCGGTCAATATCACCACGTTGTTGTAATGTTTCACAAATGCATATAATTTGTATTTCATTAAAAAAACCATTATGATTATGATTATTATCATTAGGAGTTGTAGTAGTGGAAATATATAGACTATTACTAATAGTTTTATCATTATTAGTAGTAGTATGTACAGTTGAAATGATTGGTGTATAATGATGATGTTGTTGATAGTAATTATAATGTTTATTATCAAATTCTTCATGATTATCATTTACATAATATTGTTGTTCATAAGTATAATTTAAACTTGGACGAGATTGATGAAGACTACTAGTAGCATATGAAATATAATTGGATTCATTTATTATTGTTGTTGTTGTTGAAGTCGATGATACTGTTGTCAGTGATAATGATGTTGATGATGACAACGATGATCCCGAAGAAGATGAAGATGATGATGATGTGTATTCAGTAGATGGTAGATTAGGATACTTCCCATCATAATATAGTTCATTAACTTGAATAGATAATGTATTACTTACATCTACTATGGTATTAGTAGTATTCTGATCGTTGTTATTACTGACATTTATACTGTACATTACTTCCTTTTATCGTATTCTTAGTTAATTTATTACTAATACGTTTTTTTGTTGCTTTAGGTAAGTTAATACTCTTTTTTTTACTAGAAAAACTGTTCACTATCTCGTATTTCGCATATCGTCTTCCAATTCTTGCTTTTCTAATATAACATAGATGTAATATAATACATTAAAAATTGAATAAATGAATAATACCAAGACACTAAGTGGATGGTGATAATGATGATGACGATGATGATGTTGATGATGTTCAATGTGGAATGTAAAATGAGAGTATTACAACAAAAATTGATAATATATCAAACAGTGTTTGTATATTTCTGTATATACGATGCTTGTATATGCACAAGACTTTTTTTTTCTTCAATATTTATTCTTGTAAAGTGAGATGTGTACCGGCTTGTTTCTCTTTGTATGTTTGTATGTGTGTATGTGTTTATTTGTTTAATCATACTTGTTCACCATAGATTTTAAACATGTGTACACACGCGAATACATCTACAGATAGATACACTTTCTTCGTTAACTCCTATGACCAATTATGTTTACGATTCACATTAAAGAATAGCTTAAAATGTTTCACTAACTCTTAGGTTTCATTTTCTACATTACATTTCCTTTTGTTGCTCCCTTCTCGTCTATTCCAAAAATAGGTGATGTTGTGTTTGCATGCATGAAATAATGTGCTTCTATGTATCTATATATATGTGTGTGTATGTGTCTGTGTGTACATTAGTAATAATGATAAATTTGTTACAATCTAAAATCAATTTTCAGATTTTTCTTTTCTTCTTAGGAATTGGTTTTAAATTTCTATATTTTTTCCCTATTTTTTTCTATCTTTAAGTTGCCTGGGCAACAATATAAATGAATTGATGTTTCACTTGTTGCTTCTGTATACTACTTTTACCATATGCAACGATGGTATGAAATATCTTGTTTGTGATTGGATAATTTAAGAAAGACCACAGGATGAAATATGCGTAGTATCAATTTGGATATAAATATTTATTCCACCCCTTTGTTACTTTATATTTCTTATCTTTTGATTGGTTATAAGTAAAAATGATTGCGTGAATAGCGTTTTTTGTTTTCCTTTCTCTTGTCAAATTCAGTAGAATATTGGCATTGATTAGAAAACTGTAAATAAGCAATTTATTTGTTTTATAATTAACAAATTAAAATGATTTTGATCACAATTCATATCAAAGATGGATAGTGGCTAATAGTCACAATTGATTGATCACCGGATGGTGATCAATATCATGCTTGTCTAGTCCTTATTAGTGCAGATCGAATGGTATCGATCATTTTGCAATGTGGCCACCAGTCTAGTTGACCCGACACTGCGGGCACTATGTATTGAGATCTAGATGGTGGTTGGAGGTAGTCAACAGGAAACCCTGGACCCGGGTTTCGTGCTACTTGGCACTCGTCAGCAAGGTGTACCTGTAATCTTGAGGGAACTGGTGCTCTCTGGCGGATTCGATCTCGTGTCACCCAGCTTCACAGTCAGAGACTTTACCACTGAGCTATCCGAGCCGTGACTAACCTCCTGTAGGACTGAGATGTAATCACAATTGATTGATCACTGGGTGGTGATCAATGTCATGCTTGTCTAGGCTAATAGTAGAAATCAACATGTGCGTTTCGTTCTATTTGAGCTTCGTCAGTTGGATGTACTTGCATCTTAGAGTTCTACTTGAAGTTTGTGTTGATAATGTCGTTCAGAAGAACGATGAAAGTTCCATGACCAAAACCATCTAGCTCAGAGAATAAAACTCTATCAAAATCATCCATCTGAGCTACAATTCTTCTCCATCATATCGTATTCATTTATTTCATTTTAATTAACTCAATGATATCTCAATAGTTCTTTTAAACTTAAGGTATAACTCGAAATCTCAGTTATCCCATTTTTGATTCAGTTTTCTGGAGATTTCAAAAGTGAAGATTAGATATATAGATTATAATTACTATTAGTGGCTTTATTCAATATTATATATTTGGTACAATATAGAATTGTCACCACAAAGTATTTCAACAAGTCTCCCATTTCTGATTTCTTGATCGATCCTCATGTTAAATAATGATCGATCGCCAATTAGTTAGATGTTAGCAGTCCAGTCAATCCACATCTGAATAATCTACATTATTTTCAATGCATATTCCCAACAACCACAATGTCTGTGATTGTGCTCTTTCCTAACTTATACAGAGAAATATCGTAAACACTTCACAAATGCACCTGAATAGATTATGCAATTAATTGACATAATGATCAGTTAAAATAGACAAGGGAACAGATAACTTGTTGAAATAGATAGTCCAGATATTCAAGTAGGCCGCCTTGTATATAAGTCATTTATAACAATATAGTTAAATCTTATTTGAGAGAAACAATATTTGATATTTTTTGTAGTACAATGTATGTATGAGTATTGAGTCAATCAGTTTATAAGTTTAAAGAAAGAGAATGTTTAAAATTGTTGTCTGGCCATACAATATTAGAGAAGTTAAAAAAACTCATTTAAGCAAACATCCTATTGTTTAATTGTAAAAAACAATTCATTTCATTCTTGTTGTCAAGTAATTGATCTTCATTGTAGGTAGAATTTGTCAGGGATTAAGTAACTTTGAATGTTACTATGTATTGAACATCTGTTATGTTCTATTATCGAACTTCTCAATAGTACTCCTTCATGAATTAAAAATTTTCATTCTTGATTAGTGGAATTTAGTCACATGTTGGAAGGGTGAACTATTTGTCATCGATTGTAATACATAATCGTTATACTATATCAGGGATTGATAACAGTTAGAAGTTTAAACGTTAATACCGCCAAATCTGGAACTATTGAATTTTACCCTAGTTAACACTGTAAACAGATACTACTGGAGAAATATATATATTTAAACGAAACAGATGTTTGTGGCAATCAGGTTTTTAATAGTTATCTGATTAAAGTTAGTCTAGAATGTAAACTGTAAAATACAACGATCGCCACAGTCACTACCTTTCACCCCACAGATACTAATAAAGACAAATTTTGAATTGATTAGCGTTCATAGTTCAAAGAATTCAATGCCAATTCAAGTTATACACATTTTATTAACTCAAAATTGTTAAGTTTTAATTGTGATTCACACTGTTGAGGAGTCCCATACTAGAACGAAACGGCCATCTAGTACTTCCAGTTTTTCAATGATGATCTAACACCGATCCATCCATGATACCAATCTTAACTCAACAATGTCCACAACCCTAAGCTGATAAAATGTATGTGTAATTAAGTGATTCATAACATTTGCATAGTACAATAAATGTGTTGTATTCATTTTTCTATTCCATCTAGTTCCTAAGTGCTTTATATTGAAGTATTATTCTAACTAAAGATTTCATTTCATTCATCTGAAGTTAGTCGATAAACGGTCACTCAGTGGTTAAGATGTTTAACTTTCAACCACTATGTCAGATATTTGAACCTCACCCTATTTAACTTTATTCGGACAACCGGTTAATATATATATATATATATGGTGTGCGCTACTTATATTGACATAAGTAGTAGATGATGTTAATCGTGAATAGAAGATCTGGCAGTAGAGAGACAAGAGGATCGAGCAGTAAAGAATGGAAAACAGAATCCAATTTCCATGAAAATGCAAGAACAATGAAGTTTGAGTCATTTTGAGGCAATTGATAGACATTTTGCAAATTACGTATTTACTATTTGATTGTTAGATTTTATTAACAGGTCCTGTAATTCTGTGTTAAATACATTCGATCGTCCCCCTCGTGTTCATGTTCACTACATCTACACTAGATAACTGAGTTAACGTACCGACGAACATCTATTAATGTTTCACAGTCAAATATTCAGGATTAAAAGGAAACACACACACACACATCAATGAATATTATTTAAGCTGGGACATCTTCCATAAAAAATTCTACTCCAGTATAATATAGTACTCACTCATTAAATAGAAGAAAAACAAATACTTGAAAGTATTGAATACAATACACTTTTTAAGCATTTCGAATGTTGTAGATAAACTTAACCCAATCAGAGCTATTTCTTCGTGAATATTTTGAAATATTCAAGCCGTTGTTGTTGCCACTGTTGTTGTTGCTGTTGTTGTTTTAATGAGTTTCTCATATGTTACTCTTAATCCATTTCAAATTGTTTACTACACACCCATATACATATATATATACATATATTCTCCAGTATTGAATAAGGAACAACATTTATTACACTATAAACATTGGTAGTATATCAAATTACAACAAAAATTACCATGATTGCAATCCACACAACAACAACAACAACAACAACAAAAACATTGCAGAAATTATTCATCATATTTAGTTTTAAAAAAATTTTATTATGTCATATATTACTGACTAGTTTGTTTGAAAATAAGCTTCATCTAATGTGTTGTTGCTATAGTAATTTATAGTGTAAGTGATTTAACTTAGTTAAATACATAGAATTCGGTATTTGATTATCTAGATGGATGATGCATTTTAAAGCTGAAATGATTAGATTTTCATTAATGAAGTGATTGTCAACTCTGAAAAGTAACATGTACTTCAAGATGATGAGTTTTGAATTCGAACGAAATGTTCTTATAGGATTTCATTGTTAACTACTATTCAACCTTGTTTGTAATACTTTAAATTTATTAACTAAGTTAAGGTAATTCACATAAATTGAATAGAATAATCAAAATTCAGTAAAGAATATGAACAATCAAATAATCTAAACTATTTCAAACTAAGCAATGATGGATAATGGCTAGTAGTGGAATCCAGGACGCGCATTTCTTCCTATTTGGGACTCGTTAGCTGGATGTACCTTCATCTCATAGTTGATGTTCACTCTGGGACTCGAATCCAGTACCATTCGCTTCAAACGCCATAGCTTTATGTACTCAGTTACTGAGTCCTGATAGCCACTTGCTTGTGCGATGGGGTGACGTTGAAATTCACT